TCTTTCTTCCCTCCCTCCTTCCCTCCCTCCCTCAGTTCTCCCTTCTTTCCTTTCCTCCTTTCCTTTCTTTCTTTCTTTCTTTCTTTCTTTTTTCTTTCCTTCCTTCTTTCCTTTCTTTCATACTTTCTTTCTCTCTTTCTCCTCCTCCTCCTCTTTCTCTTTCCCCCTTTCCTCCTTTCCCTCTTTCCCTCTCTTTCCTTTCCTCTTTCCTTGTTCCCTCTCTTTTTCTCTCCTTCTCTTTCTCCTTCTTTCCCCTTTTGTCCTTTTCTCCCTTTCTCCATCTTTCTTTCCTTATTTTTTTTTCTCCTTTCCTCCTTCTTTCCTCCTTCTTTCTTTCTTTCTCCCCCTCTCTATTTTTCTATAGAAATCCCATTTCTTGCTTTGAGAAGGCTTTGATATTTGCTGACCCACTTGCACCTGTGGTCCCCAGGTCAGGGCTGATGATGCTCCTCAGCATCCCAAGTCCTTCTCAAATAGCAGCAGAGCAGAGTGGCGTGGTGGGAGTACAGGCTGCCTCACATGGAATCATCATAATGGTCCTGCCAGCCCTTTTCACTTGAGAAAATGAAGCTCCTACAGATTAAAAACTCTTAAATAAAGTCTAACATACACACACACAAACAATCACTGTTTCTCTTTGTTTAAGTTTACTCTCCAAGTAATAGAATTTTGCCTAAATCTTTTTTGCTCTACCCCAAATCTCTGTCAGATTAAAGAGTTTAAGAATCAGCATAAGATTGAGAATGCATTCTCAGAAAGTAAAACAAATCATTTGGAGCAGAAGATGTTGGTTTCACAAATGGTCCTTCTGTGACAGCTCCTTGGGTTGTATCACACCTCCTTGGGTCATATCACACAAGGGAGGACGTGGAGATGTTCTCCAAGGGTGCTTGTATGGAAAGAGATCCTTCCACTCTATAAGGGCATTTTAAAAGGCACCAATGCTTCACTGCTCAATTTAAAAAAAAAAAAAATCCCCTACGAGTGGGCCAGGAACAGGGTCCCGTGTGCCCCTTTATCCTTACAAAGCTAATTGTGTATGGCTTTCATGAGTATCTCTGCTCATGGATGTTTCTTCTATGAATAGTCTTCTCATGCAGCCTAGCACTGAACCTATACTTCTCAAAGGACCCAACACTGTAAAGCATTCATGTTTTCAAATGAATTTATTAACTGCCTGAGATAATTAGAAGAGTAAACGAAAGTCATGATCCATCCATGCATCATATTTCCTCTGTAATTACCTTTATGGTTTTCTGTCAGTATCCATAACGTCAACTGAAAGCCCTGCTATGCTATATATAAAGCAGGAGATGTTTGCTTTGGAGCCTGTTTATTTAAAGGGATGGGTCAAATATGTATATATTTATATTTAAAAAAAAAAAAGAAAAACCATCAGCCTCCCCTCAGTTGTCCTCACCTTTCTGGAGAATGAAGGATGGAGAAGAGTCAGGGGAGGGGAGCATGATGTTAGCAGAAGGAAATTGTGAAAAGGAGCATTTGTGGGATGGCAGCAGGTAAAATTCCTCTGGGCTGCTTCTCAGATGAAGCATTGGAGTTCAAAGAAATGTTTTCTTCTGGGATTTTTTCCTACACTGAAGAGTGAAGGCTGTCCTGCTAACTACCCGTTGGGGCTCCTTTATTGGGGCTACCAGTGCCTCTTTGGCCTTAGCAGGTAGAGACCCACCATCAACACCAGATTTCATTTCTGCCACTCAAAAATGGGCTTTGCTCTCCAATAGTATCCTTTGCAGATGGTGGAAGACGCTCCATGGTGCTGTTAGAATTTGGGGAGCAGGGAGGGCTGCTACCTTTACAAAGGGGGATTTAAAGCAAAACAGGGGATTGGGGAAGACAATGTAGGACAGAGACTGAGTAAACCTGCACTGTCAGAGCACGGGCTGGATGACCTAATAGGCCTCTAACATTCCTGATCTGTGATTTATAGATGTGCTTTTTGGTCTCAGCAAGCGACTCCAATAACTGAGTTTTCTTTTCCATCCCCATTACCCTTTACTTTTTCCTCCCGACGCTTGGAGATGTTTCCAATTATAGGTTCTCACAAGCAAAGGCATGAAGTTCAGGCCTGGGAGATGTTCAGAAAACACCTTCCTGCATCTTACTTTTTTATTCTTGGCGGACTCCCTGGAGCTTGGCTCATTCGACAAGAAACAGCCATTACTGCCATTGACTGAATTCTTCCCAAAGGGGCCGCAGCATTTCCTCTGTCGACCTTCTGGCAGATCTTTTCCCCTCTTCTATAAGGCACATTTCTTTCTCGTCATGTTACACATCTCATTCTCTAATGGTGATAATTTCAGGCCTTTGGTAATAATGCCGTGCTACAGCAAGCTCTTTGTACCTGTTTAGTCCCCTTTCTTCACAACCAGTATAAGCTTCAGTCTGTGTTCATTGTTTATTCCAACTCAAAGGTGGTTATTTCTGCTGTTTGATTTGTCCGTAATGATGAGATGCAGGTGCATCAATACAGGTTTCCAAATCACAGAATCATAGCATTGTTGAGGTTGGAAATGTCCATTAAGATGGTCTAGTCCAACTATCAGCACATCATCACTATTGCCATCCACCATCAAGTCCTTTAAAGACACTCAAGACCTCCACACAGATCTAGAAGATGTGGTGCAGGACCTATCAGGTAGATGCATCCCTCTTGAGGAGCAGCTAAGGACACAAGGACAATCCAAGTTGTATTTATGACTTTTATTCAAGGAGCAGCAAGGTGCTTCAATCTCTTGCCCGTTTGTCATTTCAGCCCATTGCTGAGAGTTGCTGATAGGTTTTCTGGAATAAACTTTCACAGATTTTTGGCACCAGGTGCTGAGGGTTGGACTCATCTCACCCATCTCTGTGTGCTTATAGAGCTCAGGTGGCTGCATCCAAGCTTGATGCCTAAGTTCCCCCTGCAGCTAGTGCAGAAAGAGCACTTTCAGGGCATGAGTTACCTTAGCCTCACTGATACTGGCTGCCCAGGGTGGCTGTGGATGCCCCATCCCTGGAGACATTCAAGGCCAGGATGGGAGCTAGTGGTTGGCAACCTTAGAGTGGATGGAGCTCAATGATCTTTAGGGTCTTAAGCCATTCTGTGATTCTGTAACTATTCTGCTGTAGATCTCCAATGTGCATCAGCTGATTATCTTTTAGGAGCTCCATGGGTCAAAGAAGGACCCTGGAGGACTAACATGAAGTCCTCACCATGGAGGTTTGCATTAAGATGACATCGGTACTGTTCCAAGACCTTTGCTCTCAGCCTTCAAGAGTATGATATGTTTGAGTTTACTGAGCACTGGGTGCAGAACTTCTGACAATTAAATACTCTACTCACTTCCTCCCCTTGTCCAAAGCTTTTGTTCTCTGTATGTTTAATGAAGCTCTCTAAATATCTGTATGATGTATATATTTACATTGCTAGCAGAGTGGTGGTTTCCCTTCCAAGTTTGCCACTGATTATCCAGCACCAGAAATGCCAAATTCCAGTCAACTGGGAATTTGTGAGCGCAGACCTGCTCAGCCCTAGCAAGGATTTTAGCTTTTTCCCACTCACGGAGGAATTGGGGTTAGCAGTTATGCACAGCCCGGGGAGAGCTCCAACATACACAGCAGCTGGTTTGAGCCAACCTTGAGGTAGTTGGTGGAATATAGATGTGTTTTCCTGAAAGCTGGAGATCAGAGCTAATATCCCTGATCTTGGTTAGGGCTCATTTTTAGCTCCATTTCCATCTCATTTAACTTCTGAAGGACGTGGATGTTACAGCAATAAAGTAAAATATGCCCAGAAATGTGTCTGCTAATATGCCAAACTAACCAAGATGGCTTAGGATGAAACTGAAAGGCAACATTTAACAAGGAGAGAAGGAAATATGTGTTAAAGCAGTTGTGTTGCCAGGATCACATGCCAGGTACTGATGCAGCCAGCTAGAAAGTTGTTTTATGGGAATGAATAACATTTATGACTGCTCTAAGCAGGTCATAAAGATACAAAGAGAGTTACACACCAGACTTCTGCTGATCATTTTGGGTGCTTGAGAAATAATAGCACAGCATGCTCTGAGGCATGGCACCATTTGCTATTTTCTTTTTTTTTTTTTTAATCTGGAGTGTGAAACACTGCATTCTGCAAGAACCAATGGGGTCCTATGGACATTGCCAATTTCTTCCATAGTAACTTGCATTATGATTCTAGTGGATTCTTCCTAAGTTTTAACCATGATAGCCTCTTTGCATGTACTTGCATTGTGTTTCTTCACTAAATCTTCAGAGACTAGAGAAATAGATTTAGATATCTAAGTGCAACGGTGATGGAATTGGTGGAGGCCCTTGGCGTTAACTCCATGGGAAAGCATCTGTTTTGCAAACTTGGTGGCTTTTCCCTGGATCTTGCAGGGGATTTTCTCTATAATTAATCACATGACATTTAGTATAATCCTCAAAGAGTCTGTGAGACAAATGCTGAATGCAAATCACTGATAAAACCAACCTCACTCTTTCTTTTTTTAATACCACAGTCACTGAGGACCCAGCTTTCCTTTATCATGGATCCAACGGGTTGTTTTTCACTCTGTTGGGAGGTCTGTCCTCTTCATTCTTCTGCAAAAAAAAAAAAAAAAAAAAAGAAAAAAAGAAAAAAAAAAGAAAAAAAAACCCTTCCTATAAGGATTTACACAATCAGTCAACTTGGCATTCACCTCAGGAGATTTGTTCTGGCTCCTTTCGATGATGGGAGAAACACACAGGTGTAATGGCGAATTGTCCCACCCATCTTCAACATTTACCTTAGATGAGATAAATGACTCTGAACAGTTTCCCATCTCTCTCATCAGCTTAAACTAGGCATGTAATTTGCATGTAGCTAATATTAGGTCAGCTGAACACAGGCCAAGGCGTTTGCTGGGTTGGAGGTAGTCAAGAAATTAATACTGACACAAAGACTGACTTTTGTGGGTTCTAATGTCTTTTTTTTTTGCATGTGCTTGTCTCCTCAGAGCTCTGTCCAAGACTCCTTCGGCTTTGGCCCTGAATCAAACCCAGCACTGCAAGCAGCTAGAAGGCCTGGTGGTTTCCCAGGTGCAATTGTGCCGCAGCAACCTGGAGCTGATGCAGACCATCATCCAGGCGGCACGGGAAGTGATAAAGACCTGCCGTAAAACTTTCTCAGACATGAGGTGGAACTGCTCTTCCATCGAGCTGGCTCCTAACTACCTGCTGGACTTAGAGAGAGGTAAACAGCACTGCTGCCTTGGGTGGGGAGCAGAGGTTGGAGCAGATGTACCCAGAGGACTCCTCCAACCTCAGCCATTCTGTGACTCCTCCACATGCTCCAAAAGTAGATCATACCACAGTAGACTAGTTGCATGAGCCCATGTACCGCTTTCCCCTGCTAAGATCATAGAATCATAGAATGGCTTGGGTTGGAAGGGATCTCAAAAATCGTTTAGTTGCCACCCACCAGGTCAGGCTGCCCAGGATCCCAACCAATCTGGCCTTGAAGGCCTTCATGGAATGGGCACTCACAGCTTCTCTGAGCAACCTGAAACTGGATGTTGTCTCCCAGGATGAAGAGCTCTCGTTGCAGATTTTCTCCAAGCCTTTAGAGGACTCAGATGCAAGGAGGCAGCGTATTAGCCATTCTAAGGGGCAGAGATTATGTGGGTCTCTTTTGGGGGAATACTTAGCCATCCCTGGAACCTGAGTTGGAGTTTCTTATCTCTTGCAGGTACAAGGGAGTCAGCATTTGTGTATGCCCTTTCTGCTGCTGCTATCAGCCATACCATTGCCAGAGCCTGCACCACCGGGGACCTCCCTGGCTGTTCCTGTGGTCCCATCCCAGGTGAGACACCTGGACCTGGGTATCGATGGGGAGGATGTGCAGACAACCTCAACTATGGTCTTATCATGGGGTCCAAATTTTCAGATGCTCCCATGAAGATGAAAAAATCAGGATCACAAGCCAATAAACTGATGCATCTGCACAACAGTGAAGTAGGGAGACAGGTAACAAATCCACAAGAGTTATTGTACTTGTACAGTCCTCTTTAGTGGTCGGTCGCTCTGTGAGGTTCAGTGTCTGTATCAGCTAGTGAAAGGAGCAGGTTTCTCCCTGATTGCTCTCAACTCCTTTGGCCTGCTGAAGACTGTGGCTATCAGTCATGCTGGTCCTCAGGAGGCCCTAAATGCTAATTCTAGCCCTCTAGAACTGTGGGTGGGATGTGTCATTGCCACAGCTTCCACAGCCAAGGATGGCTGTGGCTTGCTTACCCCAGGAGGTGTGGTGGGGATGAGTCCCATGGTGCTCTGCCAAGGGCATTGCACACATGAAGTGCTGTGTAAGCACAGAGGCTTACTATCTGCCAGACGTGTCCAGCAGCAGCTGCCTCCCAGCCATCTCTGCAGCCAGGAGGGCTGATGTGTTCCTTCTCAAACTGCTTTGCTAGTGATTACTCCCCTATCTGGCAGAAGCCGCTCTTAACAGCTTGCATTCATGGCTGTGCCAATGGAGGAATAGCACTGTGCATGCTGCTTGGCATGCCCCAAGGAGCAAATCCCCACCACAGCCCTTCATGCAGCTTGAGAAATTGGGGTGGGGAGCTGTAAAGGCTTCAGCAGTTCTTTGCGCTGGTTCTATTGCACAACTTGTCCTTCTAGGGCAAAACTTGGAGCATACTGAGCTCATTGGCAGCTTACTGTGTAGCTATGGGCTGAACTTACCTTTCCAGAGCAAAACCCTATCAAACTCATCTCCTCTGGGTGTTTTTCTCTATGGTTCCCTGCATTCCCACTCTATATTATTACTATTATTATTATTATTATTATTATTATTATTACTATTATTATTGCTATGTCTTGAGTTTTTGTTTGAATTACAATGGGCAAATTTTCACTTGGGATGCAGCACTGTCACGGCTGGTGGATTCACTGCTATATCCTACCAGACCAGAGCAGAACTGAAGTAAAAGGCTCTGCTGGCCCCATACTCAGCAGAAAGGCAGGGTGTGGGTGCTTTGAATTCATGAGTGCCTTGACATCTGTTACCCAATGCCTAAACATGTTGCAGGCAGACATGCGCATTAAGAATCTATTTATGGATTGCTTTGATTTTCAGATCCTAATATAGAGAGTTTAAATGCAGCCCTATGTAGATATCTGATCAAAATTCAACATATTCTTCTGTCTGCTGGCTGCAAATGTGTCCTGCTGAGAGCAGTCCTGGTCTAATAGTGATCACCAAGGGGCTGTGGGATTTCATTCCCTTTGCTAGTAGCTGCTCAAGCACAACCGTGCAGAAATCAGAGCAGCAGGCCTTTTCTATAGCAGTCTGCATTAAGAAAGAATCTTATTTAGTAAGCTTGTGGGATGTTTGGACTTAAGAGAAGGACATTTCCTAACTCCTGCATTCCTTTTTGCAGGTCTTGAAAGCCTCTCTTGAAATGAAATGTAAATGCCATGGAGTTTCTGGGTCATGCTCTATCAAGACCTGTTGGAAAGGCCTTCAAGAGCTGCGAGACATTGCACTGGACCTCAAAAACAAGTATTTGTCAGCCACCAAGGTCGTTCATCGGCCCATGGGCACACGCAAATACCTCGTGCCAAAGGATATTGATATCAGACCGGTTAAGGAGACAGAGCTGATTTACCTGCAGAGCTCGCCTGATTTCTGCATGAAGAATGAGAAAGTGGGGTCACACGGGACCCAGGACAGGTGAGGGTTTCTGCACTCTGTGCCCCTAAGAAGAGGCAGAGGGGGTTGTGTATGAATAGCAGGCAAATCACTGTGGGGGTAGCATATATGCACAGGCAAAAAAATTATTTCTGATGCTCAGTGCAGTACAGAGATGCCCAAGACTCTCAGTGGTGGTTGTGGCTAAGATGGAGCTGTAGATCCCTTGCTTTATAGAGGTAGGCACAAAATATCTTTGAAATACCCTAGGAAAACCATATAGGCTGCTCATTTCCACAGGTACAATGATCAAGCAGATGATATTGATTGTATTGAGTTCCTCTTGCAATCATTACTCATCTGATGAGTTGTTACTCTACTTTTAGGCAAGTAAGGCAAGATTTAACACAGTTAGGACTGGTGCTTCCAAGCAGCCTTAAAAAAAGCCACATCACCCACAAGGATGAATCTTGAGCATTTTTCTTCCACTGGCTTTTAAGAAACCATGCATGTTTGAATTGCTCATGTCTATGAAGAGATATGACTTCATTCCATTAGTATTGGTGACCTAAGGTCATCACAGTCAAGCCTTCAATGAGCACAGTGGTGTGCTAGGAAGCAGACACGCATGTCTTTTCTTGTGATTTGTGGAACTCCCTCTATGACAAATCAATTCCACAGGTGGGCACTAGACTCTCTGACAGCCAAACAGCTGTGTATTTCCAGAATTTTGCAGGATTTTCAGGACTTTTGTTCAGGGAATGTAATGACTGGATTTCAAGATGGCTCATTCACTGCTATCTGCTGACTTGGCTTTTTTTTTCAGAGAGTTCCCATCATTATTCTACGCTCTTTGTGCCACCTCATTGTGCACTCTCAGGCTGTCATGTTGCAAGGTGCATGCATGCAAGTGCTCTTTTGCAGAGCATCTTCCTTTCAGCTCTTGTTGGACATAATGGTCTTTCCATTTTGCTCTGAATGTAGTGAAGGTTTTACTATGACAGAAAGGAAGTAAATGACCTCAATGCACAAAAGATTAAACCTTTTTAGTTATCTTTGATTAGTAGGAATTTGTACTTAGGAGATTACAGAAGATATCCTTTAGCAATTCTCTAGGATCACGGTTCTATAGAATATATATCAGCATCTGGAGTTGACCAGGTGAAGATGAAAGTTGACTGAGACACCTTGTATGAAGCATGTCCTTTTTGATCTCTGATGTTGTGTGATGTTTAGAGCTTTGTATCCTCCATTAGAATGGAAGGTAGTGGCAGGACCACAATAAAACAGCACGTTCATTGCTGGCCCAACAGTGCAGCAGTAATTAGCAAGTGAAGATGTTTACGAGTCATTGAGGGCTGTAGGGAAGAAAGCATGTGCTGAACGTGTTGTCTGAAACAAAACGTCATTTGAGCAGAAGCAGTGTTTCTATGGATTTGTATGGATTTTGACAAATTCTTGTTTTTAAAATGACCTCTTTGTTGAAACTCCCTGTTTTGCAATGAAAAAACTGGAGGTTATTTGGAATAGGAATCGTGTGAAATCAACAGGTTGTGTCAAAAACAAGCTGAATTCATTAGAGATCTGCCAAGTGAAACATTTTCCGTGAGCTGAAACCCTTTTCAAAGGTGGAGGAAGACATGGTTTCCTATAATTTCATTTTACAGGAGATTTTGCCATCTTATCCCAGTGAGGGATGAAAAATATGTTGTGGTCTTGAGTGATCTTTTTTTTTCTTTTTCTTGAGGATAGGAAAACACATATTGCAGGCATCCATTTATCCTGAGCAGGGTGAGAGCAGAGATTGTGAGCCTGCCAGGCAAGGATCCAGGGGAAGTGAGGCTGAGTGAGGACTTAGAGGAGCGAGATATTAAGGCAGGAGGGGATGACTTTCAAAAGGAACCTGTCAAGAAGGGCTCCTTATTGTTGGATGTGCAAGATGATGACGACTGTGAGAGGGGAGGAGGGTGAGATAGACCTATGCTGAATTGTAGTCATCTCTTGGGCCATGCTGTAAGGTCATCTGTAGTTACACTCAGTGCAATTGAGAAGATACCTAGTGTCTCAAAACTGGCAGCTATAGCAGCCCTTTCTCTTAATTAAATCAGAAGAAATGAGTATAATGTGTTTGCAGATGGGCTCATTTTTCTTCCTCTTCCTTCCATGGATGTATTTTCTCCTCTGATTTTTATTTTTTTTTTTTCCTCTCACAGAGAGGACATTTCATGTGTTTCAAACACGATGGCTCTGTTCCAGTGGCAGAGATAGTGCTTGGTGACAGGGACAAGGAAGCAGGAGGACAAAGGGGCAGCTGTTGGAGAGAGCAGGAAAAATACATGGCTCACGCTTACCCCACAGTGGTGTAAAATGCTTGTTTGGAAGTAGCCCAAAGAGGCTTTCACTCTATAAGTGAAGTCCCAGAGCATCTTAACATTTTATCCTTCTTCACATCAAAGATTTTGGGGAGAAATTTTTTCTATTAGGCCAATTTTTAAGGCTTTTTTTTTTTTTTACAGCAAATGTAATCAAAAAAGGATTTTAATAGTGGTCTCTGAGTTTGTTTTCTCTCTTTTTCCATCATTTGCCTATTCCCTCTTTGGCCTCTTTGTGTTCAAAAATAGAATCGTAGAATCCTTAAGGTTGGAAAGACCACTAAGATCATCAAGTCCAACCATCAACCCAACCCTGTGAAGCTCTAGGCCATGTCCCTCAGTACAACATTCACCCTTTTTTCAAACACCTCCAGGGACACCGCTTTCCTGGGCAACCTGTTCTAATGCATTACCACTCTTTCTGACAAAAGATATTTCCTGATCATATCCAACCTGAACCTCCCCTGGTGCAATTTAAGGCCATGAACTCTTGTCCTGTGGCTTCTCGTAGGGCACTGTAGTGCAGACCCTTCTCACTGTGCTCAAGGAGACCTCAGTCTGGGTCTTCACCTCTTTCCAGCCCCGCTTTCTTCCTCTGAAGGGGTGTAGAAGGGCGAGGTTCCCATGAATAACCTTTCAATTGTATTTAAAACATTCAGATTTTCATTACAAAAAGTGAGTTGTCTTGCATCATGAGGAGGAAAAGTCTTTTCTGCCTGTTCATATCTTGCTCAGAGAATGCTGGGAGCCGGACCAGGTCTGACACAGCTGCAACACTTTGTTCATTCTGGGTTTCTGTATGCTCCAGGGAGCAACCCTGCATTAGTAGGTGGGTGGGAGGGATAATCTAATCGGTCGCTTCCATCTCTATAATTATCCTTCACATTGCTTGGACTCATTGTGCTAACTTCAGGCAGGAAAGGGAGTCAAGTTACTTTGTAGTGGAACTATGTGAAAATCCACTCAGAAAATGCAAACCTGGCTACTCCAAAGCCTTTCTGGGCTCTTCTCTGAAAGCTTTTTCAAAGCCTTGTTCAGCACAAGCCTGAAGTGATTTCTAAGACATTTTGGCCCTCCTTAGTTTCATGTTGAAATCAGAAATGGTTTGGGAATCCACATGCCTTCAAGCAGTTGGAGTGGATCCAGGTTTCAAAGCCAGGCAGCTGAACACAGACCTGTGATTTGAAGCCTCACCACTCTTTGAAGTGCTCGGAATCTGATTAAGGAGCTGAATTTTGCAACTGGCTTGCTGCAGCCACAGCCTTCACTGATGGCAGCCAAACTCCATGGGTTTGTTTGCCACCATCATGCTTACATAGCTAATAATAATCGTCTGGAGAAAAATCTCCAGGAGCAAATCTGTGGAGTAGCATGTGGATTATATGATTTTTGATATGAGTTAACCATGTGGAATGAGAGGTTGGTTAAGATGAAAGAGAATGGCCTTAAATTGCATGAGGGGAGATTAAGCTTGGATATTAGAAAATATTTCTTCTCAGAAGGAGTGGCAATGCATTGGCACAGGCTGCCCAGGGAGGTGGTGGAGTCACCATCCCTGGAGGTGTTCAGGGAGATGTGGCACTGAGGGACAAGGCCAATAGGCATGGTGGGGATGGATTGGAGTTGGGGTTGGTGATCTTGAAGGTATTTCCCAAACTTAATGATTCTATCATTCTAAATAAGCATATATTTATATATATATATATATATGTATATATATGTACTACATATATATTTTGCAGCTTTCTTGGAAGAAAACACCCTGTAACTCATCTTTTAATGAGTTTGTTCAGTTTCTCCAGACTGAAAAATTCATTATCAGCTTCAAACAGGAGATAAAGAATAGCAGATTATAAAATAGGGATCTCTGTTGTGAGAAAAGAAGCAAAAGTATTAACCTCCTTTATCAGTAGGGTACAATGTATCGTATTTCAAAGTCTATTTAAAGTCCCATAAGGAATCCAAGGAAAGGGAAATTCTGCGATACAGGCAAAGGCCTCTGGCTTCTGATGCCTTGAAGGGATTACTGAGTTGTTTATTACTGATCTTTCCCAAAGCTGCTTTGGAGACATGCAAATACTACTCCCTCTTTGCTGAAGATGGGAAGGAGCTCCCTTACACTACAGAAATTGGGATGCAGTGTTGTTTTTATGCCACACAGGGCTGATCAGCCACCACTCCTTTGCTGACTCACTTGGGCAATGAATATGGCCAACCTTTCGTGGCTGTTTCTTGTCCATGTATTTGTTCTTATTTTGCAATATATGAAATTAGTTTTATCTCTCTCCTGAGGTGTTCTATGGGATAAGAACATGCATAGAGTTAATTGACCATGCATCTGCTGCTTGGTGGTGACAAGTTTTGGCTACAAAATCTTTGTGGCTGGTGACATATTGATGGTCAAAACAACAAGGTTCATTGAATGCATAGAATCGTTTGAATTGTAAGGAACATGTTGAGTTCATGTGGCCCAAATCCCCTGCAGTGAAAAGGAACATCTACAGCTCAGTCAGGTGCTCAGAGACCCATCCAGCCTGACCTTGGGTGTCTCCAGGGATGAGGAAACCACCCCTCTGGACAGCCTGTGCCAGTCCTTCACCACTTTCACTGTAAAAAAACTACTTCCTTATATCCAGTCTAAATCTCTCCTGTTCTAGTTTGAAACCATTT